AAATAAAATATATTTTTTAAAAAATGGGATCCTTTTATACCTATTATTCTGCAGCTTGCTTTTTTCACTTTTGAGGATGTGTTTCCATGATATTCTTTTTAACAGTTGTGTGGTTTTCTGTCGTGTAGCTGTCCTGAAAGGTAATTACCCAGTCCCTTACTAATGAATGTTTAGGATGTTTCCAGTGCTTTGCTGTTAGCAAACAAAGACCATATTTGTGTGTGCCTCTTGGGGCCTCTGGGATAGTATTTTGGAGGACAGAATATTCCACCTTTTATAGATGTGGACGTTGAACTTAGGTAGATGACATCTTTGTCCAGAATCTTCCAGCAAGGCCCTGACGGAGAGGGTGGTGGGTGAAATGGGGCCGACCAGGTATCCTCTCCCACCCCCAGGAAGGCTCTCTGGCTCCGGGAGAGAAGCAGTCTACCGGCCTCTGAGCAGGTGCAGAATCAGGGAAACTCAACAGCCAGAGGTGCCCAGTGGCAATAATGAAATTCTTTCTCCCCACAGCCTCTCCAGGTTCCCTCCAGGGCAGTCCTTCTCTTTCTCTCTTTTTTAAAAATCTCTACGCTCAACATGGAGCTCAAACTCAGCCAGAGATCAAGAGTCACATGCTCTACAGACAGAGCCAGCCAGGCGCCCCCCAATCCCTTTCCTTTCATCTCTCTGACACTGACCTTGAGATCTGTGCAGGGGAAGAGGCGGGGGTGGGGTGGGGGTGGGTGGGTGGGAGCAAAGATAAACCTTAATTCCTGGTCATCTCCTCACTCTTTCATTCCCACCAGTGTTCATTCTATGTTAGCTTCCCCTACCCCAGTGGGTTCTGTTTTTTCATCCTGTCTTTGCCTTTGCCTCCTCCGCAGCCCTCCTACAAAACAGGTTGGCAGGAAGAATGGCCAGCGGAAAGCATGGCGCTCTTTCCCAAAGAAATCCAGGAGCTCCTCTGGACACTTTCATTTCCCTTGCTCTTTATCATGCTGGACAAAGATCACCCAGTAGCTTGTCTCACTCACCAGACTAGCCAGCCCTTGCCTGCCAGGATCCTGCCCGGCCACCGGGACCCCTGCAGCTATTACCCTGGGATAAATGAGAAAAGATTCAAACTCTACTTGCAGTGGCATCTCTCACTGGCTTACACCGAATTTGCTTTCTTGGGGGATGGATGTTTTTCAACTCAAAGGTCCCCATCTCAAAGGTCCCTTCCCTGGCTGCCCTGGTTGTCTCCATGGCTCTAGCACAGCATCTTGCTCTATTTTTTTTTCTCCCCAGCACCGCTCATCATCTGAAATTATTTTCCTTCATTTTCTTGTTCCCTGCCTGACTTCCCTGCTAGAAAGTTAATTCCATGAGGGAATTCCCTGTCTTGTTTACTCCTATCTCCCCTAGAAGATCCATGCTGGGAAGCTGGTGCTCAGGAAATATTTGTTGAATCCACGCATGAATTCAAACTCATGTACAAGGTCTGAAAGGAAAAGTTTCAAGCTGACAACTGTGGCTATTTCTTAGAATGGGATTGGGATTGATGAGACAACTTGGAACTTTAGCTTTTATTTTTCAATTTTTTAAAAGATTTTATTTATTTATTCATGAGAGACACAGAGACACAGGCAGAAGAGGTAGGCTCCCTGCAGGGAGCCCAATGTGGGACTGGATCCTAGGACCCCTGAGTCACACCCCGAGCCAAAGGCAGATGCTCAGCTGCTGAGACACCCAAAGATTTTTCAATTTTTGAGGAGAAGACTGTGATCACTTAATTGGTAGTTAAAAAATAAAGAAAAACACTGAATTAAGGGCCAGATCCCTCAGGCCTAATCCTGAAATTATGGTTGATTTGGGGCCAGTGACTTGACTTGCCTAGCCGTCTGTGGCTTCTGACCTCACCTGTAAACACAGTTCCAACTCCCACCTAAACCCTGGATTTACAGTCTGCATGGCACTTTTCCTTTCCCTTCTTCTTCTTCTTCTTCTTCTTCTTCTTCTTCTTCTTCTTCTTCTTCTTCTTCTTCTTCTTCTTCTTTCTTCTTCTTCTTCTTTCTTTCTTCTTCTTCTTCTTCTTCTTCTCTCTTCTTCTTCTCTCTTCTTCCTCTTCTCTCTTCTTCTCCTCCTCCTCCTCCTCCTCCTCCTCCTCCTCCTCCTCCTCCTCCTCCTCCTCCTCCTCTCTCCTCCTCTTCTTCTTCTTCTTCTTCTTCTTCTTCTTCTTCTTCTTCTTCTTCTTCTCTTTTTCCAAAGCAAGTTCTGTGCCCAACGTGGGGCTTGAACGTGCAAACTTGAAGATCAAGAGTCAAGTGCTCTACCGACTGAGCCATTTAGGTGTCCTGTGTACAAGTTTTTTATCCATTGTCTCAGCAGATTATCCACACCCCTGGGAGAGAGGCAAGGCAAAGATTATTATCCCCATGTTTTAGGGTAGGAAATTGGGGTTCATAGCGGTTAGTTGTCTGGCCTGCAGTCACACAGCTGTGTCCATGCAGGTCCTTATTTCCTCTCGTGGTGAGCTGACTCAGATAATGAGTTTATAAGGCCCACAAATGGGCTAATGGGGGCCCAGAGGGCTATGCCATATAAGTTATTATTACGGCAACGGGATCAAGGTCTGATCTGGAGCTGTCTTCAGGGAGCCCCTTAGGCTGGCGAGGAGAGGAATAGAATCTCTTCCGGGTTTTGTTTTATCTATTTATTTATTTTTAAAGATTTTATTTATTTATTCATGAGAGACACCCAGAGAGAGGCAGAGACATAGAGGGAGAAGCAGGCTCCCTGCAGGGGAGCCTGAAGCGGGACTTGATCCCAGGATCCTAGGATCAGGACCTGAGCCAAAGGCAGGCACTCAACCACTGAGCCACCCAGGCACTCCCCTCCTGGATTTTATTATTTTTTAAAGATTTTATGTATTTATTCATAAGAGACACACAGAGAGAGGCCAGAGACACAGGCAGAGGGAGAAGCAGGCTCCATGCAGGGAGCCCGAAGTGGGACTCCATCCCCCGTCTCCAGGATCAGGCCCTGGGCTGAAGGCGGCGCTAAACCGTTGAGCCACCTGGGCTGCCCCCCTTCCTGGATTTTAAAGAAAGAGTCCTGGTGGTCTTTGAAGGCCAGGGTGGGTCCTGAGGCCAAGTCTCTGATTTAGTGAAAGGAACATTCCTGGAGTTGCTTTCCCACAGGGGGCAGGGTAGGAGGTGGCAAGCACAGGCTGGTGTGGACCAAGCGTCCCAGGGGGATCACTGGGCAGCCTGGCCCACAGCAGCCACTTCCTAGGTGGCCCCAGAGAGTCCACATTCTGGACCAAGAACACGTCGTCCAACCTTGAACAGATCTAAGATGTGAGGCTGGTCCTGGCTGGGGTCATAATGGCATTCTAGGCTGGGGCTTAATGGGTGTTTGAGGAGGTGGGAATCCCCAAGGGGGCTTCTCTCCTCCACAATATACCCAAAAGGCACCAGGTGAGAAGCCAGGTGTCTGGCTTACAATTTACAAGTGATTGAAAGGTCGGGTGTGTTATATCTGAATCCTCTCAGCCACTTTGTAAAGCTAGAATTATTTCTATTTTGTTTACTTGAGAATATTTAACATGTATTGTTCCATTAGTTCCAGGGGTACAATATACTGATTCAACAATTCTATTTCTGACTCAGGAATTATCCCTATTTTTAAGCTATGGAAACAGGTTCGAGGGCGCACAAGATCATACTGCCAAGGGACTGGGGAAAGCCAGGATTCCAGCCTGGGTGGATAGGACTCCCAGAACCCTGCTCTTCCCAGCCTCCAACAGCTAAGGGGTGACAGCGGTGACTAAGACCCTGCTCCTTTCCTTGGGGGTGGAGCGACAGACCCATCCCAGCTATTATATTGGTCAAAGTGACGTCACCACCATGGCAGCTGAGTGGAAAGCTGATTCATCTGAGGTCAGGAGGGACTTCTGGGGGGAGGAGCCGCTGACCCAGGTCTTGGAGAGGGGAGCAGGAGGCTGGGGGTTCCAAAGCCCTGAGGCCCAGAGCCCCACCAGACAAGGGCCTGCTTCCTATGGGTTCTGCCCACGGGGCCCCACCGGGCCCCACCCCCCCACCACTTCTTGGGGCGGGAGGAGGAGATGCCCGAGCCGACACAGGGGGAGCGCACTCCGAAGGACTAGTTGTCAGGCTCAAGACACCACTGAGTGCACACCTGGACTGATGGGGGTGGGAGCCGAAGTCTGGCAGGCAACAGGGGGAGGAGAGGGTGACAGACTGTGGAGGTCAGGGGTGTTTTGGAGGGGTGAGGCGGGGTCAGGGAAGCTGGTGGCCATCTGGGGTGCTTTGGGCTCAGCAGGGGCACTGCCTGCCCCACGTTTCAGGGAGGAGGGCTCAGTGGGTTTAGGGAAAGTCGGTGTGGGGGTTCTGCAGGTCCTTAGGCCAAGGAGCGGGAAGAGGGCAGGAGCGGAGAAAGGATTCCAGGTGGGCACCGTGGTGAGGGTCGTCGGGTGGAAGAAGTCCCTCGGGGCCGGCGAGGTCGCAGTGGGTCACGGGGCTCCAGGGGCCGTCCCGGAGTTCCCGGGGGCTCCCGAGGAGGAGCGGCGACCCGGCTCGCCGAGCAGAGGGGCTGCGCGGGGTCGGGCCCGCGGCGGGCGGGCGGGGGGCGCGTCGGGGGGCGGAGCCGCGGCTGGGTGGGGCGCCAGGCCCCCATTCCCGGCGGCGGCGGGCGGCGGCGGGCGGCGGCGGCGGGCGGGGACCCGGGCCAGCGGGGCGCCCGCGGCCGGCCCACAGCGAGGGGGCGGCGGCGGCGGCGAGCGGGCGGCCGGGCCGGGCCGGGCCGGGCCGGGCCACGCGGGCGGCGGCTGCTCGGGCAGGTCCGGGCAGGGCGGGGCGGGCGGCAGCGAGCGCAGCCGGGACCCCGAGCCCGAGCCCGAGCCCAGCCCGAGCGCGGACCCCGCGGCCGCGGCCCCGCCTCCTCCCCGCCCTGCGCCCGCCGCCCGCGGGTCGGCGCCCGCTGCTCGGAGCGGCGCGGCAGTCGGCGCTGGAGCCGCCGCGGAGCCGCCGCGGGAGCCGCCGCCGGAAGCCGGCCGGAGCCGGGCCGGGGGCTGAAGCCTGGTCCCGGCGGCGCCCGGAGGCGGGCCCGAGCCCCGCGCGGCTCATGGCGGGGCCGCGGGGCGCGCTGCTGGCCTGGTGCCGCCGCCAGTGCGAGGGCTACCGCGGCGTGGACGTCCGCGACCTGAGCAGCTCCTTCCGGGACGGCCTGGCCTTCTGCGCCATCCTGCACCGGCACCGGCCCGACCTGCTGTGAGTGCCCGGGATGGGGCGGGCGGGCGGGGGCGCGGGGGCGCGGGCCCGAGCCGGGGTCCCCCGCCCCCCTCAGTGACGCGGAGCCGGGCGGTGGCAGGCGCCGCCCCCCGGGGCCCGCGACGCCGACCCGGGCGCTGGGCCCCCAACGGCTCGCGGGTCCCGAGCGCTCGTCCCCGGCGCCCCTCCCCCACGAGGCCCCGCCCCGGGGCCCCGCAGCCTGCGCCTCCCCGCTGGCTCGGGCCCCGGCCGCGCCCACAGGGCACTGATTTCCGCCAAAGGGACACCTGGCCCTCCTTGGGGACCCTGCGCCCCTCCCCGCGCCGCAGTGAGGCCCGTCGGCCCGTGAGGGGGCCCTGCTCCCTTGTCTCCTTCCCCCATGCCATCTTGGCTCCCCAGGCAGTAGTGGTTGGATGATATACACCCCGTCTCCCACCCCAGGTAGGACGCAGATCTGCCTCCCAGGTGTGTGCCCACAGGCCTGCCGTCCTCACTGGGGCAGGGAGGCTGGGTGAAGACTCCTGAGGTCTGCCTGACACCAGCCACCGCCTGGGCTGCCCGGGGTGTGAGATGGCTCCTTCTTGCCCCCCCCCCCCCCACCAAGCTGCCCAGTGAGGTTCTCATGGAAAAACTTATTCAGACCCCCAGAGCCGTTGACTTGGGGCTTCTATCTCAGCTCTCTGTGTGTTGGGCCCTGGAGCCTCTCCATGTATTCACTCATTCATCAAACGCTGAGTGAACATTAAGCTGAGGCACAGGGTTCCTTGCGCTTCCTGTCTCATCTGCAACTTGAGACCCAGAGACCTGGTTCTTCAGGGCCTCTCTTGCCAACAGTGCCCCCAACAAGGCTCCCCGGACCTGGCAGGGTCTGCAGACTTGGGGTGTCCTGCTGCAGACCTGTGTTCCCTGGGAGGGCCCTGGTGGAGGCGAGAAGGGAGGAGAGGATGGCCTCAAGGATCCGTTGGTACAGATGCATTTGGTTTACTCTGTACCTTGTGGTACAATGTCTGGGTGCCAGGTCGGGCCCTGTGTTGGGATGTGGAGGGGAGGATTTGGGGGGAAGTGGCTGCAGAAGCTAAGGCGTTGAGGTGGGCTGCTTCTGCCTGCTGTGGGGCATGTGACAGCCTGGGTGTCAACGGTGGGGTTGATGATAGGGTCTCTGTTACAGAATTGTTGTGAGGATTACAGGAGGTAACGAGCATTTAATTAACATTAGTTATTATATTAGACTATGGGGTGTGATGAGTGTGTGTTACTCGTCGTTCTTTCAACAGTATTTATAGTTACTACTCTGTGCTGGGCCCTGCGTGGTAATGGAGATAGCAGGAGCCAGGTGCCTGCTGAGGGAAGGGCGTTCTGGCGGCTGGAGGGGGCCACCAGAGCAGAGGCCCTGAGAGGGGAGCACTGCTGGGGCCCTTAGCACATGGCAGGGAGGATCAGGAGATGCGGCTGGCCCGGAGCACCAGGGCTCCTTGCTGGCTAAGGAGGGTGGATGGAGCCACGTGGAGCTTCGTGGGTTTTAAGCAGGGGAGGGCAGCTCCCCTCCTGAGAAGAGATCCAGGATCATGTATAGACATTCATTTGTGGAGCAAGCCAGTGCCTTGGCTACTGGCCCATTATACAGAAGAAAAACTGAGGCCCAGCTGCCACAGGAGGCATAGGGAGGATCTTCATGAGAGTAAGGGTAGGGTAGGGGCTGAGGGCAAGAATCATCAGAAGACGTTCAAGCTCTTGGAGCTGTGGCCCTTCCTCCGCTAGGGTGTGGGATTTGCCATGCTGGGGGGCCTGGTTCATTGTTTGCCTCCCCTCACCAATCCAGACATCTTTAAGCTCCCTTGAGGACAGAGACCATGTGGGTTTCATTTTTGTGTACTTCATCTCCCTTGGAGCCAAATAGAACTTCCCGGGCTTTTGAAAACTCTCACTAAATATCTGTGTTACCAAAGCCCAAATGTTGAATTGGGACAGAGATGGGGGTGGGGAAGAAGCTGGAGGAGAAACTAGTATCTCTGGGGCCTTTACAGTCTTCACACTGTTTATTTATTCATTCAATAAACATTTGTTGAGCACTTACTAAATATCAGGCACTACAGAGGGTGTTGGGAGCACAGGGTGAACAAAACGTGACCCCAGCCTTCTAGAAACACTGCTGGGGAGACTGAAATTAGCTGCCAAGACAAATTGTTTTGGTCTCATTTGGTCTCTGAACAAGCCTTTGTTGGGGCTGGGGGTGACCCCTCACCTGTTCACAATGTCACAGATCAGGAGGCCAAGCTTTAGAGATGTTAGATAACTTGTTTTTGGTCACACTCTTAGGCAGTGGCAAAGCAAAAGGGCTTAGGGACTCAGCTTTTGGGGGGAAGGGCGGGAGAAAAGGAAGCAGCCTGGCCAGAGGTGGCAAATGGCTGAGGTTCATACTTAGTCAGCTCCCCTGACCTAGTCCATCCAGCCTTGGGGCACCTCCCTCTGGGGTTCTCAGGCTACCCTTTCCTGCCTCTCCCACTGGTCGTCATCGTATCTGGACTCTGCCTGGAGAAGTTTGGGGGCAGGAGGAGGGGGGCGTGCCCCTCACCAAGCCCAGACTCAACCAGCCCTCCCCACCAACCTGGGAGGGGGTACTGGAGCTTCCCCCAACTTACAGATGAAGGTCAGGAAGAAAATGAAGGTCAGGAAGACGGCCCACCTGCCCAAGGTTGCACAGCCAGGCCTGGAAGAGCAGAGCCCGGGACCCTGACTTGGGAGGTGGTGCCGTCTGCTCCGGCCTCTGGGCCCACCATGTGGGCGAGGCAGGGCTGCAGTTTTCAGCCATAGAAGGGCAAGGCTCGGGGCCGGTGCACCCAGGAGGCTGCCGAGCCAGAAGGCTGAGTTTCAGCCACTCCAGCAGCCTGGAGCACTGAGGGGGAGGAAGGGGATGGATAGAGCCGGCCAGCCAGCCAGCTGTCTCCCACCAGGGTCCCCAGGGCAGGCCCTGCTGCCTCTCACCTGTCCCAGCTTACAAACTGGGAGGCCCTGTGCCACTTCCCCAAGAGAGGGTGTCCCCAGGGGCGGCCCAGGGCCGGGGGGCGACAGAGACATTTAATGTCAGTAGCTCTGGAGCACGTACGATTTCCAGTCTGATTCAAACCTGTTCTTCTCTTCCTGGCCGCATTAAAAAACATTCGTCTCTGGGCTGGGTTGGGGATTCAGCAAGTAGGTATGGCTCCTCTGGGTTTGTGACATCCAGTGGAAGATCTGGAAATGTGGCCTCTCAGGGCCGGGTGGCTTTCCCTGTCTGGGTCTCAGTGTCCTCATCCATAAAACGGGGTCAGTACCTGCCAGGAGAGTTGCTATGAAAGTAAGCTCCCGACAGGAGCTCAGCACAGTGCCCCGCGTGACGCCAGCAATCCATGGCTGTCCCCGTCATTACAAACATGAGTCCTGGTCTTGTTTTTTCGTTGCCACTGACTCAGGCAGGGCTTTCTGGCACAAGGAGAGAAGAGATCTTAAACTTGAAAGCTTGGGCTTGAGCCCCACCCCTTCAGAGTGATTTCCAGCCTCTGCTTCGATGCCTCAGGGGACGATGAGCTCATCCTCTGCCCCACCTGGCTGACCCGGCTCTGTTAGCACGTGCTTGTTGCCTCAGTTTCTTCCTTGACCCTCCACAGACCCTCTCCCCCAACCCTGCGGGCCCATGTTGGCTGGGATGAGGTCACCTCCAATCCTTCCACACACCCTGCCCCAGTCACCTCCTCAATGCTCCTCCTCCCCTTTACCTCTTGCAGAGATTTTGATTCGCTTTCCAAGGACAATGTCTTCGAGAATAATCGTTTGGTGAGTCCCTAAACAGATGGAGGCCTTAGAGGCTGTGAGGTGTGGAGGGGACACGGGGCGGGCAGGGGTTCTGCAGGGCAGGAGCTGAGGCGAGGGGCTCCTAGACTGAGAAGCTGCTTTGCACTGGGGGGCCTGGGCTGCGCCTCTCCCTACCCCCTTCTTCCTTCTGGCCCACTTTTGCCTGGAGCACCAGTCTCGCCCTTCTCCTGCTCATCATGTGGGCCCGGAGCTGAGTGGAGCCCATCGTCCTGGGCCCTTCATCCACTGAGGGAAGCTGGGTCTAGGCTGAGGGGCACCCACTAACCCTGCCTCCTCCTCCTCCTCTTCTTGTTGTGGCTGCTTTTGCACCCACCCCTACACCTTCCCCACCCCTGCACCCACCCCCACCCATTCCCTACTCCTGCCTCTACCCCCCCCCACCATCCCCCACTCCTACCCTTGCATCCCCTACTCTGGCCCCCTGCCCCCCCCCACCCTACCCCCTGCACCTACCCTCACCCCAGGCCTTTGAAGTGGCCGAGAAGGAGCTGGGGATCCCTGCTCTCCTGGACCCCAATGACATGGTCTCCATGAGTGTCCCCGACTGCCTCAGCATCATGACCTACGTGTCCCAGTATTACAACCACTTCGCCAGCCCTGGCCAAGGTGAGAGGGGGCTAGCCCTTCAGGGAGGCTGGCCCTGGGGGTGGGGTGGGGCCTGTTTTCTGAGCTCCCCAGCCCGGGGCGGTGGGTGGGGTGGGGAAGCAGGGCATCATTTATTTGAGGGACCATTCCTTCCATGGCTGAAAGAGGTGTTGAGTAAGACAGCACCGTGCTGGGCCCATAGTCTCAAGGTGACAAACCCTAGACCAATCACCAAACAAAATAAAGGTAGAGAGACAAAGCAGGGCGAGTTCATTGGCTGGCTGTGAGTTCACCCCCTCCCTCACTTCCTGTTTGCAGACACTTCCCTGGGGCTTTCCCTCCAGAGCGAGCAAGTGGCCCTGTGCCTCTGTGCAGCTCTGGTGCAGCGTCCTTCCCAGGAATGACCTTCAGGGTCTGAGAACAGAGAGGCTGGGGACCTGGGGTGGGGGTTGAGGGGGCTGCAGGGTGCTTTCTTGACACTGAGTCAGGTCACCAGGTGGCTCCCGAGCCTCCTGCCTGGGGCATCCTCCTGCAGATACCTCTCTTGGGGACAGCTGGGCCTCTCCTCCTGCAGAGAAGAAATGGGCCCAGAGGGGGAACCGAAGAGGTCAAGGTCACACAACAGGAGAGCTGGATGGCTGGATAGGAATCCAGGTGTTCTGACACCTGTGCTGGGACCCTGGCACCCCTACCCCCCATCCCTGTCCCTGGTCCCTGTCCCCGTCCCATTTTGGTCCCGCCTCTTGCCTTGGCTCTCCCTGTGGACAATTTCAACTTGTCTCATTAAGAAAAAGTGTTCTAGGAAGTCCGGGGTAAAAAATTTAGAACAGGGATGCCTGGGTGGCTCAGAGGTTGAGCGTCTGCCTTCGGCTCAGTGCATGATCTTGGAGTACTGGGATCGAGTCCCAGATCAGGCTACCTGCATGGAGCCTGCTTCTCCCTCTGCCTGTGTCTCTGTTTCTCTCTCTCCATGTCTCTCATGAATAAATACATAAAATCCTAAAAAAAGAAAAAAAAAAAGAAAAAAAATTTAGAACGGAGCAAAGAGCATAAAAATTATTTTTATTTTTTAGTTGTTTATTAACAAGAGAACCTATTCCGTAACCCAGTGTTCATATTCCATAGCTCAGGAACACAAGACAGTCAGTGATAAACTTCAATGGAACGCAACCCAAAGAAATTCTTCAAAAATGACAAAGAAATTAAGACATTTCTAGATAAAAGTTAAAGATCAGGAGTTCCTCACCACTAGACTTACAATGGGAGTTCCTCAGTCTTTATATTCCAGATTCACTTTGCACTCTGAAAGATAGCAGCCTTCTTCATCTCCTCAAAATCTTTCATGGAATCATAATTTCTGTAGAAATCTGCATATGCCTTCTTTCTTGGTTCAGCCACAGCAAATAATAGAAAGCTGCAACCCCCAGGGATACAGAGAAGGCTCCAACAATATGAAATCGCAGACGGCCAGAAGGCCTTGCATGTGAGGTTTCATCAAAGCACTTGAAATCATGGTAGTTATTCTCCTCAAACCCAGTGTGCTTCCTAACAGAAATGGATGTCTACAAAGAGCATAAAAATTAAAATAATCTGCACCTCCCCCCCAGTGATAGAGCTCAATATTATAATTGAACAAATAACATTATGGGTGTTTTAGTAGATATCAAAATGAAAGTATTTCCCGATCACTGAGTCTTTGGTGAGAGGCAGTAGGGTGGAAATTAAGAGCATGGGTTTAGAACTTTCTCTTTGCCATTGGATATCTGGATGGCAGGTGCCTGGGTGCCTCAGTGGTTGAGCATCTGCCTTTGGCTCAGGGCGTGATCCCGGGGTCCTGGGATCGAGTCCCACATCTGGGTCCCCACAGGGAGCCTGCTTCTCCCTCTGCCTGTATCTCTGCCTCTCTGTGTGTGTCTCTCATGAATAAATAAACCCTTAAAAAAAAAGAATATCTGGATGACAATGGGCCACCACTGTCACCTGTCTGCCTCAGTTTCTCCTTTGCAATGCAAATAAGAATAGTGCCCATCTCTTAGGGTTGATGTGAGAAGTGAGGAAATGTGAACCTGTGTCTGGCCCTATTTAGGACTCAAAGTTAATATGATTATGACTTCTTTATTTCATTGGTTAGAGTTTAGCTTGCTTACCTAGGCTCGCAATTCAGTCTTACCTTCTAGAGAGTTCCCTGTCTCCAAACGCTAATCTCTTTCTTTTAGGCTCTTTTCGGGGGGGCCACCCTTCTGGGACCTGTGAGGTGGGAGGGGTGGGGAAGGGCTCTCTATTCTGTTGGCAGTGCCTGCTCTGTTTCTGGGTCCTTACTGTGCACCCCCGGGGTGAGGGCAGACCTGGTGGGCCCAGCTCCCTTCGCTGTGCCTGGGAGGGGCACCCCCTGGGCTTGTGGGGGTTCTTACTGGTAAAGATACAGTTTGTGCTTTTCTTTTTTTTTTTTTTTATTAAATTTTTTTTTTATTTATTTATGATAGTCACAGAGAGAGAGAGAGAGAGAGAGAGAGAGAGAGAGAGGCAGAGACACAGGCAGAGGGAGAAGCAGGCTCCGTGCACCGGGAGCCCGACATGGGATTCGATCCCGGGTCTCCAGGATCGCGCCCTGGGCCAAAGGCAGGCGCCAAACCGCTGCGCCACCCAGGGATCCCCAGTTTGTGCTTTTCATACAACTTGGCCTCTGAATGTGAATGTTTTTATCCTACCTGCTGCTCAACCAAAGGAAATGACAGCAATGTGTTCCCACTCTGGAGGCAGAGCTGGCTGTTAGACTCCCCAGATTGTCCTGTACTGTACTTTCTGGGCAAGTAGAAGAATTGCAAGGGTGATTTTGACTAGACTTGACTTTCACTGGCCTGGGTGGCTCTGGAACCTAGCCCTGGCTAAGACACAGCACTGTGCTGAGTGTTCTACGTGCAGTGACCCTGGGCATGACAGCTGGCCCTGGCCCTCCAGGAGCCACACTGTGCTCTGGAACCAGAGCGTGAGTGAAGGAAGCCCAGCGGCTGTGTGAAATCGACAACCACAGGTGACAGGGGTGAATGTCCTCTGGATAAAGTCCAGCTTCTTTTTAAAGTAGGCTCCATGCCCAGCGTGGAGCCCAACGTGGGGCCTGAACCCATGACCCTGAGATCGATACCTGAGCTGAAATGAGGAGTAGGACACTCAACTGACCGAGCCACCCAGGTGCCCCAGTCCAACTTCTTAGGGGGCCCTTGAGGGTCTCTCCCCACTTAGCTTGAGCCGCTCATTGCCCCAGTAGTAGTCTGATTTTTTTTGTGTTTCGAATACATGACATTCCTTTTGTGCTCAGCCTTGCCTTCTGGTGATCCTCCAGCCCCAAATTCCATTTTCTGTTCCACCTCCAACATTCTTTCCTACCCATCCCCTAATCTGCACATTTTGCCTCCTCTGAGCAGCCTGCCCTGATTTACCCCAGGTGCTCTTGTGACCCCCTGCCCTCTGGTGAACACATAAGACTCTGGTCATAATATTTGGATTACTCCTCCCTCTTCCCCTGCAGACCAGCTGTGTCTAGATGTAGCCGCAGCACCTGGTGCTTACTCATTGATTTAACAAATATTTATTGAGCCCTTACTGTGTGCCAGGAACTGTGCTAGGTGCTGGGGAGAGAGCTGAGAATGGGAGGGAAAGAGAGAATGCACAAATGAAGAGGTAGTATAATTTCAAGGGAGTCCAATGAAGGGGGCCAAACAAGATAATGGGATCAAAAGCCATGGGAGGATGAAGTGGCTATGCTAGATGAGTAGTGACGGAGTACCTTTCTGAGGAGGTGACATTTGAGCAAAACCTTGAACAAGGACGAGAAGGAGACTGTTAGAAGATCTGGGAAGGAATATTCCAGGCCAGGGGCAGCGGGGGGTGGGGGGGGCCTGTGTGCTTCAGGAGACTGAGCAGGAAGGAGGGAATGAGGACAGAGGGATGTTGAGAGTGGTATTCGATTAGGCTGCAGACTTCCAAAATTTCTGCCTATGACTCATCATGCACATTCCCATTACAGTCCCAGTTCATGCACACATGTGTTAACTGAAACAAGTTTCAGGAAACGATTCTTCCCCTTACAACATGTGATACATGCAGGGGTGCTCAGCTGGCTCAGTAGGTAGAGCATGCAGCTCTTGGTGTCCTGAGTTCAAGCCCCATGTTGGGTGTAGTGCTTACTTAAAAACAAAAAACAACAACAAAACAAAAAAACCTGGGGACACCTGGGTGGCTCAGTGGTTGAGTGTCTGCCTTTGGCCAGGTTGTGATCCTGGGGTCCTGGGGATCGAGTCCTGCATTGGGCTCCCCACCTGTTTCTCCCCTCTGCCTATGTCTCTGCCTCTCTCTCTGTATCTCTCATGAATAAATAAATAAAATCTTAAAAAAAAAAGATCAACACAACAACATGTGATGCATGAAGATATTTTCTCTTTTACTTTTTAAATGTGTTGGTTGTAACCACTAAATTGATTTCAGGGTCTGTTAATGGATTGTGATCTAGTTTGATAAGTGATATTTTAGACAACAATAAGGAAATTGGATTTTATTCTTAAAATTACCAAACAGTAAAATTGATGTTTTTGGGCACGTGGTTTTCTGAATTTTATTTTTTATTTTTATTTTTTTTTAATTTTTATTTATTTTATTTATTCATGAGAGGCAGAGACACAGGCAGAGGGAGAAGCAGACTCCCTGCGGGGAGCCCGTGCAGGATTCCATCTTGGGACCCTGAGATCAGGCCCTGAGCTGAAGGCGGATGCTCAACCACTGAGCCACCCAGGCATTCCTTAGTTTTCTCATTTTATTTTTTTATTTTATTTATTTTATTTTTTTATTTTTTTTATTTTTCTCATTTTAATCACTGGGTACCGAGTAGGTGGTCAGTGAATATTTGCTGAAGTAATAAAAGAGTGGAGTCTCAGAGGGGGCTGGTGGGCTGGGGTGGGTAGGTTTCTTCTCTGAGGGAGTACAGCCACACCAGCCCATTTTCCTGAGTCTTCAGCTGGCACCACATGGTTCCTCTCTTTTCCTTCCCTCCCATCCCCTTACCCTGGTGGGAAGGAAGCTCCTGGTCCCGTCTCATGCTGGGCACTGCTAATTCGGTGATTGTTGTGTGGCCTTAGGGTTTACACTGCCCCTATGTGGTTGGAATCACTGTCCTACTCAGGGAGGCTAAGCAACTTGACCTTGGCACTTGGCTTGGAAGAGAAGGGGTCTCCTGACCTGTGTGAAGTGGGAGCCTGCCCTGTTCCACCTGTGTTGGGTGACCTGCCCAAAGGTGATAGCTGTGCAGCTCCAGTTGTAGGTTGGAGGCCTCTTGGGCTCCAGGGTCTCCACCTTCCTCAGGGTCTCTTTCCTGTCTCTTGGCAGCTCGTGTCTCGTCACCTAGAAAGGCCCAGGCACCCTCCTCCCCGCCATCCGAAGCATCTACTCCAGCAGAACCAGGAGACAGGGCTCAGGTAGGCAGATGCCTGGGGTGAGTGGGCTGAGTGGGGACTGTTGCCATGTTCATTCTTGGTCCTTTATCCATTGGCCTTGGAAGTAGAGCCACTGAGACCAGGGTGGTGGAGGCGGCAATGGGCCAGATTCCAGTCCATTCTTTCTCCAGGGCTTGGGGTAGGATCAGGAGATACCAGGCCTGGGAAGGGGGCAGTCAGCAAGTCTGTAACACTGACTCTGCCATTCTGGCACTGGCAGGATTTAACATGTAATGTAGCAAATACTCACCTTGATTCCTGTTGACCCAGAGCTGTTTTCTAGCATGATTCCATTTTGTCCTCTCACCAACCCTGGGAGGTCAATAGTTTGTGCTGATACACAGATGAGAACATGGAGGCTCAGAGAGGTTTGGTCATTTGTCTGAGGTCAGGCCCCCCCCAGGCTCTGAGATGCTCAGTGGAGTGACACCAGCCCTTCATACCTGGATAGCACTTCATGGGGCGCAGAGGGCTGTTCCCACATGCTCCCCACATGTCTTGGCCAGATGAGCTCCTGAGGGATGGGGAGCCTGGCTCAGTGTGGGTGCCCAGGGAGGTGGGGGCTGAGACAGGCAAGAGGTAGAGGATTCCACTGGCAGGTGAGCCCATGGCCCAGAGATGTGAGCAGCTTGCTCGGGGTCAGTGTTTGCAAGTGGAGAAACTGGGATTCAAATCTGCTGCAGCTTGAGGAGGGGAGGCAGAGGAGGCCAGTGAGGTGGGCTAAGACAATGGTCACCCGCCCCGGGGCCAGCCTGCAGGGATGGGAGTGAGTCAAGGGTAGCCGAGGGGAGGGGGTTATACAGCCAGGAGCTGTCTTCCTGGCAGCAAGGGCCCCAGAAACTGGAAGTCAGGACTTTTGTTTCAATTCTGACTCAGTGACCTTGAGCAAGTCTCCCCCCACCCCCTGCCGCTCTGGGCTTCAGTTTCCTCATCTACAGAAGGGCTACAGTCTCTCTTCCTCTGCTCCTCTGGGGCTTCGGTGAAGTACATTACCATCGGGAAGCTCGTGTGCACTTGAGGGCAGCGGCTATCTGCGGGGAAGGGGGCTGTTCTAGAACAGGGTGGTTGGCCACTGCAGCCCCACGCCCTTCTGCCCACCTTGTTCTCTGCAGGGCGAGGAGCTGTCCTCGGGCAGTTTATCGGAACAGGGCACCCAGCGGACCCCCAGCAGCACGTGCGCAGCCTGCCAGCAGCATGTGCACCTGGTCCAGCGTTACCTGGCCGAGGGCAAGCTGTACCACCGGCACTGCTTCCGGTGAGTAGCCAGAGGAGCGGGGGGGTGGTGGTGGTGGTGAGCCCCTCCAGCACCCCGTTTCCAAGGAAGGGAGCTTCTATGGATTCAGTATCACAGGCACACCTCGGGGCCCTGCATGCGGAGCATCTTGCTTATCCCCATTTTTCCAATGAGCAAACTGAGGCTTAGTAAGAGGAAAAGCCTCGGAGCTCAGGGGTTTGACCTCCCCCTCCGGAGCTCCCTGAGGCTAACTACCTGATGACCATGAAGGGGCTGCTATAGAAGTCCTTGAAAAAAAGGAAGGATTTTTTAAAAAATTACAATAACAACTCACTTTCAGTGTGTAGCTCCCAGTGGAAGCTAAGTTTAAAGAAAATGGAATCAGAGCCAAGGAAAAGACAAAAAACTTAGAAAATGTATGAAAACATTTTATATGTTGCAAAAAAAGCAATAAGAAAATAGGGGAAGCCAGAGACTAAGTTCCAACACGCATTCGAATGTGGGTTAGTTGTGTGTCTGTATTTGAGTGTGCGTCTGTGTATATCTGTGAGTGTATGTGTGTCTATGGGCGTGGGTTAGTGTATGTCTGTGGGTGGGTGTCTGTGTCTGTGGGTGGGTGTCTGTGTTTCTGTGGGTGTGGGTTAGCATGTGTCTGTGTGTGTGGGGGTGTGTCTGTGTCTGTGGGTGTGAGTGTGGGTGTGTGGTGGCCAGGCCTGGAATCCCAGGGGCCTGACTGCAGAACTCAGGTGTCATGAGGGAAAAGTCTCAAGCAGGGGCAATATTATACTAACACATTCACATCTGGCCAGGAGAACAGCATTTTAAAGACTTTTTCCAATGATCCCCCCCCCCCCCGGTAAAAAATACATTTGACCCTGCGACCAGTTGTGAATACATGCCTGAATAAAACCCCATGTAAACAGATGTACAACTGGGCCACCTGGGTGGCTCACTGGTTGAGCATCTGCCTTTGGCTCAGGTCATGATCCTGGAGACCCGGGATTGAGTCCCACGTCGGGCTCCCTGCATGGAGCCTGCTTCTCCCTCTGCCTGTGTCTCTGCCTCTCTCTTTCTCTCTGTCTCTCATAAATTAATAAAAAATCTTAAAAAAAAAAACTGAACAAACAGATGCACAACTGGAATTATAGTTTCCTAAAACTATATTCTTATAGTTACATTGTGTGATACATTCTGTGATACATTGATTTGTTGTATTTTATTCTGTTTCATAAAAAATATAACCCAAAAGCCTGGCTTGGTTGAAACCTACTCAGTTGATTTCCTGAGCCACTCATGACCTACCCGGGCTGGTACCTCTGTGTGGGGGCCAAACCTTTGCTTCCTCTTGCAGCACAAACTTAAGGCATGTTTCACAATTTATGTTGCTTGATTTCATGTGATTTTATTGTTCTGTGCTTTTTTTTTTTTTTTTTTTAGAAAAAAGATTTTATTTATTCATAGAGACACACAGAGAGAGACAGAGAGAGAGAGACGGAGGCAGAGACACAGGCAGAGGGAGAAGCGGGCTCCACGCAGGGAGCCTGATGTGGGACTCGATCCCGGGTCTCCAGGATCACGCCCCAGGCTGCAGGCAGTGCTAAACCACTGCGCCACTGGGGCTGCCCTGTTCTGTGCTTCTGACAGTTACTATTTTCCTTCTCTGGGAAGTCTAGGGCACAGGGTCCAGGCTGGTCAATGGGAGGAGAGAGGGGGAGCCGGTGTCCTGGGCTGGGTGCCGGGCTGAGTTGAAGCCCCCACCCCACCTTCTCCCTGACAGGTGTCGGCAGTGCTCTAGCACCCTGCTCCCTGGAGCTTACAGAAGTGGGCCTGAAGAAGGCACCTTCGTGTGTGCGGAGCACTGTGCCAGGCTGGGCCCGGGTGGGCGGTCAGGGACCAGGCCCGGGCCCCCTCTGCAGCCAAAGCAGCAGCAACTTGGAGAAGAAATCAAGGATGTTGACGGAGGTGGCCCTGGCCGTACTGCACCCGCAGGGGCTGAGGCAGAGGGGTCCCAGGCCAGTCCCGAGGCCCGGCCCCAGATCACCACCAAGCCCCGGCCTCCAAACAAACCACAGGAGCTGGGTGGCTCCCTGGCCGGCCGCCCCACACCTGCCCCAAGGAGGGCCCCTGAGAGCCCAGCCCCGACACCTCCCACGCCCCGGCCCCGGTCCAGTCTGCAGCACGAGAACTTGGCAGAGCAGGGTGGCGGCAGTGGCCTAGTAAATGGTGAGCAAGGGCCCAGTGCGGCTGGGCACTGGCTGGGGTGTGTCTGGTGTTTACATGTGCATGTGCACTGTGAGTATCCGGGGGTTCATGTTCTGTGCCTTGTTTGGTTCCACACGCATGGAGGCCTGAGCTGGGCCCCGGACACAGATCTGTTCAGACCTATTTGTGCCTTCGAGCTACTCTGTCAGTCTCATGGCAGTGTTGGGGGGGCAATGGAGACAAGCACAGACATAGGGGCTTCCACAGAATGTGGAAATCTGTTAAGTCAGGGATAGCAGAGGTTATTGTGGGTTTTGTGGAGGACACTTGGGGGTCAGGGGAGGCTTCAAGGAGGATTGACACTGGGGCTGAGTTGAGGCAGTGTTTCCATGTTGGGGAAGTGTCCAAGGGACACTTGGGTTCCCCCTTTGGGGCTGAAATGCAGATGGAGTTTCCAGGTTTCCTGGCCTGGCCCCTATGACCATTCTTCACCTGTCACCTTTGGTGCTTATCTCCTGGAGTGCTGGGAGGTGCCAGGTTGTAGGTAGGGTTGCCATGCCCACCTGGAGTCCTGGATCTGCCAGGTAGAAAGGGAGGGCATACTTCCTTAGCTCCTCAGCACCTGGCTCTGCTGCCCAGCCGACGGCCGCCCATGAAGAAAGCTGGTCTCATTCTCCTTTCTCATCTAGGAAGGCTGCACGAACCCCCTGTCCCCAAGCCGAGAGGGACACCCAAGCTGTCAGAAAGGTATGCTGGCTCAGGGAGGCTTTCCCACGTTGGAGGCCCTGGTGCTGGGAATGGGGGTCCTCTTGGGGTCTGGGAGGCAAGGCTTCCTGTGGGCAGTTGACTCACCAGCAGACCCTCCCAAAGACACGCAAAGCTTATTTTGGGTGGGTGACACTGAAGGTGAGCGCTGTGCCCGCATCTCCTTCCCAAGGCTCCCCTGGGGTCCCCACTCCCGTGGGTGGTGGTCCTGGTAGAGACAGTGACTCTGGAGCCCCTTGACTTTGCCATGCCTCTGCTGCTCTGTGACGGGGGAGACCCAGGCCTCACTCACAGAACTGTTGTGAGAATTGGCAGCTGAGTCTATAAAGACCGAGAAAAGCTCAGCTGTGTACCCGTCTCGGGCCTGCCGCCCTGGGACTCTGTGTCCTGCATGAGGACATCTATTTCTAGCTCTTCTTTGGAGCTGTGCTCCCCCTGTGTGGTCTGTGAGGGGGAGAGTGGGCCCCAGCTGCAATAGTAGTTAACACTCAATGAGTATTTGCTGTATGGAAGGTGCTCTGCTCACTGGTTCCTTAGAATGCCCTCGTGAAGTGCAGATTGTTGTCCCTGGTCATAGGTGGGTGACTGGGCTTTCAAGAGGGGCTGGGTGACTTTCTTGGCCTCACACAGAGAGCCCCTGTGCATCTTCTGCCGGGCTGGGCTCATAGAGGCTGTGTGATGTGAAGGTTCACTGTCCCTGGCCCTGAGGGGCCCAGCCAGGGGTGTGACTACAACAGTCTATTTCAGCCTTCGGCCCGGGCTGACCCCGCTGGGCTGGGGAGGATGGGTGCAGGTCTCATCCATTCCCTTTGAAATGGACTTAAAACTGCCCAGAGGGAGGACGATGCTGCCCCCCTTGCCCCCAGTGGTTTCTGCCTCTTCCCACCTCCCTCCAGGACGCCAGCCCCCAGGAAAGACCCCCCATGGATCACACTGGTGCAGGCAGAGCCAAAGAAGAAGCCAGCCCCCCTCCCCCCGAGCAGCAGCCCCGGACCTCCGAGCCGGGACAGCAGGCGGGTGGAGAATGGAGGCACGGAGGAGGTGGGCCAGCAGAGCCAGGTGCCAGCTGGCCTGGAGCCCAAGCCCTACAACCCCTTTGAGGAGGAGGAGGAAGAGGAGCCCCCAGCTGCACCCAGCCTGGCCACTGGCCCTGCCCTGGTCCCCTCGGTGGAATCCACACCCAAGTCCCTGCACCCCTGGTATGGGATCACCCCCACCAGCAGCCCCAAGACGAAGAAGCGTCCTGCCCCCCGAGCACCCAGTGCATCCCCACTGGGTGAGTGCCGTCTCTGGGAGCTCTCCTGACAGAACTCTGGGCTCAGGTGCTGGGGTTGGTGCTGGGCTGGGGAAGGGAGTGTGGTGCAGTGGGATCCCCGCCAGGCTAGGGGCCACGCATGTCCTCTCATCTAATTGCAGAGTATATCGGTGGGGTGGGCATCACCTCACAGATGTGAGGAAACAGGCACAGAGAGGGTATGTGATTTGCCAAAGGCCTCATAGCGCTTAAGCAGTAGAGGCAGGATTTGATAGACAGGAGGCTGGAGGCCCGAGGCTCCATACTCTATACTCCTAACTCGCGGTAACCCGCCTCATGGTAAGGTGTTGTGAGGATTAAAGGTGTGCCCCACGGAGGGGCACCCCCAGCTCATGGAGAGCGTGTGGCCAGGGTTAGCTTGAGTCCTGCCCGTCTCGTTCCTCCCCTCCCATCACCAGGCACCTTGGGCTCTGACCTGGCTGCGTGTGACCTTGAGCAGCTCCTTCACTGCATCTGTGTTCAGTGTCCCCATCTGGAAGATGGCAGTGCAGGCCAGTCTCTGGGCGCTGGGCCTTCCTCTGCCTGCCACACCCTCTCATCCAGGCTCATTGTAGTTGCTGTTGTCTATCTGTCTTTTTTTTTTTTTTATTTGTATTTATTTATTCATGAGAGACAGAGAGAGAGGCAGAGACATAGGCAGAAGGAGAAGCAGGCTCCATGCAGGGGGCCCGATATGGGACTCATTCCCAGGACCCCGGGATCGTGACGTGAGCCAAAGGCAGACACTCAACCACTGAGCCACTCAGACGTCCCTGTTTTTCTTTTTTAAGATTATTTTACCTATTTGAGAGAGTGAGACAGAGAGAGAGAGATAGAAAGTGAGGTGAGAGGAGGAGTGGAGAGAGCAGGAGAGAGAATCTCAAGCAGACTCATGACCCCTGAGATCATGACCTGAGCTGAAATCAAAGGTCAGATGCTCGACTGACTGAGCCCCTCATTGTAGTTTTTGTCTGTCACCATCTCGCGGGTTTCTCAGGCCTCAGGCGTGGTCACCTTCCATCGTGACTGGGGAACGGCCCCCTCCAAGACCTCAGTGGGAGCCCCTCGGATAGGGAGGCTGAGGGCACATGAGCGATGCCTGGGGGCAGGTGCTCAGGTGGCCTGGGCTTCCCACTCCGGCCCCTGCCAGGACCCTGGGAGCCTCTAGCTCCAGGTGGCGGGCAGCTGGGGGACACTGAGTACCGGGTCACACGCAGCTGTGTCAGCCCCAGCCCTTCCCTGGCAAGTGCCTTCCCTCAGAATCCGCTGCCTCATCTGGAAAACACAGCTGGTGACACTTCGAAGCATAGTATCCAGCACCCACACGAGGACTGAAGCGGCCCAGGGCCGGCCACTGCGAGGGCTGCCGGGGAGAGAGGCCGGCCTTGACTCTGTCGGCCCTTCCCTCCCTTTCCCTCCCCTGGCGGACTCGCCTCCCCGCTGGGCCTCTCTTGGGGTCAGAGCAGACATGGGAGGGGAGGTGGAGGCAGAGGGCCCCGGACTACAGATGTGCCCTGCGGGGGATGTGTCAACCCGTGCGGGATGAGGGCAGAGATTGGTCTGCTGCTGGCCTCGGTCCTGCTGGGCTTTTGCTGGCCTCTGGGCCCTGGCCTTGTGCTGATGTGGAAGCATGCGGGGTTCCAGGGCCACCCGCTGCCCTGTGGTGAGTGAAGGGTGTTAGGTGAGGCTGTGCCTCCTCGCGTGGTGCTCACGTGCTTGTTTGTTTGCCCAGCTCTGCATGCCTCACGCCTGTCACACTCGGAGCCACCCTCCGCAACCCCGTCGCCGGCCCTCAGTGTGGAGAGCCTGTCGTCTGAGAGCTCCAACCAGACCCCCTCCGGGGAGCTTCTGGAACCCTCGGCGGTGCCCAAGAGCTCCTCGGAGCCCACGGTCCACGCCCCCGGCACTCCTGGGACCTCTGCCAGTCTCTCCGCCAACTCCTCCCTGTCCTCATCTGGGGAGCTGGTGCAGCCCGGCGCAGACCAGATACCTCAGGCCGGCCCTGGCCTCGCCCCGGGTTCAAGGGGCAGCCCCAGCCCCCAGCCCCCCAAGCCCTGTGGCGGCGCTGCCCCCACCCCTCTCTTACTGGTTGGAGACAAGAGCCCCACGCCTTCCCCTGGAACCTCGTCCCCGCAGCTCCAAGTGAAGGTGAGTCCTCCCGCTTGCTAGGAGCTGCTGTCCTGTCTAGTGGGAAGGGCGGGTTCTGGTCTCTGGACAGGGACGTGCAGGTGGGCTGGCCTCTGACTTCTTTACCGATGTGGCTGTGTCCGTCTGCCCGTGCACGACTCCATCCATGGTGGCACAGGTTCATCTGTCCATCCTCCCATCCATCTATTCGCCTTCGTATAGTGATGCGTCTGGGCACCTGTCTTCTTGCCTCGCCCATGTACCTGCCCACCCAGGACCCACTCCCCCAGCCACCATCCATCTCCACATCCTTCTCTCCACCTTCCTGTTCATGAGGCTGTGTTTATGCCAGGGGCCTCCTCCCAGGCCCGCCTTGCACTCCGTCTCCTCTTGGGGGCAGAGGAGACATGGGGCACCCATCTCAGGGAGCTCGTTCTCCAGGTGACCTTTGTGACTATTTGTGTAACTGTTTCTCAGTCCCATGCTGGGAATTGGGGGTTGGCAGGGGTCAACACGTTCCTCCGGGCATCTGGTTCCTGAGGGCGCCTCTCTTGTAGCCACAGTCCTTTTGGGGCACCAGGTTCTGATTGTTCGCCCCTGCACACACTCCGCAGCCGTCTGAGGGCCCAAGGTTCACGCAGTTCCAGGTGGAGGGTGGCAGGATGGCTCAGGTGGGGAGGCTGTGGTCATGGCCTGATGGACCTGACAGAGGATAAGTCTGGGGAGAGGGCTGAGCTATTGGCCCAGCTCCTACCTGTGTACCTTTCAGACGCTTCATCTGCCCTGGCCTGGGCAGCAGCCTCCTGTCCAGCTCTACTACCCACCGGCTGTGTGACCTTGCAAAGGCCTTACCCCTTCTGTAGGCCTCAGATTGCCCTGAGGAGGCTCAGGGTTCCCTGGTGGTGGCAGGTGGGGGATGAGGTCAACTTTTTTTTTTTTTTAAGATTTATTTACTTATTCACAAGAGACACAGAGACAGGCAGAGACACAGGCAGAGGAAGAAGTAGGCTCCATGCAGGGAGCCTGATACAGGACTCGATCCCAGGATCCCGGGATTACACCCTGAACTGAGGCCAGACACTCAACTGCTGAGCCAGCCAGGCATCCCTGACGTCAATTTTGGACACTCCCTACCCCCACAACCCACCCCTGCCTTCAGGCAGCTCCATTTAAACATCTTCGTGTGTGACGGTTTGGTTTGGCTGAGCCTGTGCCAAAAGGCTGGGAACTCTTGGGAGACTTGGGGGCCTTGGGCTGTTTGACCCAGCTGGGCCCCTTGGGGTGCTGCTCTGTGAGAATCAAATGCTGTCACTCTGCCATGCCTGGACTCAAGCCCTAGTACTTTTCCTGCTTCAGAAATCCCAGGGCGACTTCCCCCGTGAAAGAATCTCTCCACAGCCTGGTGCGGGCGGGGTGAGCAGGCTCCTTCCAGTCTCCCTTGGCTGCGGGGAGAAAGTTGGGTAAACGTTCCTGGGAGCACTACAGGCCTCAAGTGAGAGCTTTCCATGGGCCCATCATGATGCCTCTGTGTCCAATGCACTAGGGAGAACAGTTGAAAGACACTGGCATTGCCTACGTGGCAGGCGAGGCCCTGTCCCAGTGCTGGGGCTTCTGGCTGTGCTGGCCTCAGGGGGACAGGGGTCTCTGCAGAGGGTCAGACAAACCCAGGGCTGTGGGTGCATGCAGGGGGGTGCAGCAGGGGTAGGGGTCTTTCCTGGACTGGGAGGTAGGAAGCTACTCTTTTCCTCCTTCCAGATGGAAGGTAGGATTCCTGCTTGCACATGTCCTGGCTGGGTGACGCTGGGCAAGGAGTTTCATTTCCCTCTCTGGGCCCGAGTCCCTGCTAGAAAGGCACGGTTGTGAGGCCTGAGTGAACAAGCGAAGCCATCTGGCCCTCAACTCCACGTCCTGACTGTTGCCCCCGGTGCTAGATGGCTGCCCTGGCCCTAGCTTGGGCCCTTGGGAAGTGCATGACCTGAGCCAGTTAAGCTCCCTGCACTTGAGTGTACTCAGCGATAAAATGAGCATTACAATACCTGTTTTGCAGAGAGGCGGAGAGAACAAGAGTATAAAGGTATCCAGTGCAGCAACCGTATGTGGGAAGTGCTTGCAAATGGAAGTGTTTGTTGAATGCCCCAGTGGGACTGGGCTTCTCTCTCTGCCTGGGCCACTTCCTCCCAGCCTCCAGGCCTCAGTCCCACGTAGTCAGGCTGCCAGGGCGGGTCTTACTGCCCCCTTCCCCAGACTTACCCTCTGCCATTCTCCCTGCCTTTAGTCTTCCTGCAAGGAGAATCCTTTTAACCGGAAGGCATCACCCACAGCATCCCCGACCACAAAGAAGGCCACCAAGGGATCCAAGCCAGCCAGGCCACCTGCCCCAGGACACGGCTTCCCGCTCATCAAGCGCAAGGTACTGGTTGGCAGCTCCCGGCCACTCGGGCCCCCTCCCTTGGCCGCCTCAGGCATCCCATGCCATGGGACTCAGGCATCCCGTGGGACTCTTGAAAAGATGGGCTGTCTGGGCAGCTGCCTTCGGGGATGTGGAGAGGGGCATTTGGGTGGCCCAACTGGAAGGTTTAACTTGCAGCCAGGGAGATTTTAAGCAGACCAGCTGTTCCCAAGCAGGCACAACGGGTGGTGCATTTAACTTGTTACTAATAATAGTTCAAGGATCAAAGCACTCACATGATATACTTCTAGTTAAACAGAGTGTTCTCAAGTTTATCTCTCCACTACAGTCACCCTCTTAACATTGTGATATGGTTTCTGCAGCGGCAGAGAGGCAGGAGGTTGAGCCTCCCTGGGGTGGGGGGAGGGTGCCTTTTGGTTCCAGAGCCAGGGGCATTGAAGGGTTGTGGCCCTGTCCACGGTGACCCTTCCTCACAGTCCTGTGGCCACACTGGGGTGTGAGACAGAGCCCAGGCCCTGGGCCTGTGGGGCCAGTGCTGGCTAGAGATATGGCAGGTGGGAGGGGTGGACTGTCCTTTGGGTGACTGGGGCATTGCCGGGCAGGTCCAGGCTGACCAGTACATCCCCGAGGAGGACATCCACGGAGAGATGGACACTATTGAGCGCCAGCTGGATGCCCTGGAACACCGCGGGGTCCTGCTGGAAGAGAAGCTTCGCGGCGGAGTGAATGGTGTGGGAACTGCTGTGGGGCCTGGTGGGTGGGACTGAGGGGTGGCGGGAGCCTCCCTCCCTGGGGATGAGTCTTGGTGTCTCCGCTGAGGGCCAGGAGTCCTGCCAGCCTGGCCTCAATAGGCATCTGGCTTCCAGAGGGCCGTGAGGATGACATGTTGGTGGACTGGTTCAAGCTCATCCATGAGAAACATCTGCTGGTGCGGCGGGAGTCTGAGCTCATCTATGTGTGAGTCCTCACCCCCTCGGTCCCCTCCTTCCCAGAATCCATAGTGTTTGGAACGGAGAATCTTCCCTGTCTTCCTGCATCACTGGCAGCACAGGGCAGGGCAGCCACATGAGGGGCAGGGTTCATAGTTGCCTCTTCCCACCCTCTAGTTTCAAGCAGCAGAACCTGGAGCAGCGCCAGGCAGATGTAGAGTACGAGCTCCGGTGCCTTCTCAACAAGCCAGGTGAGTGTAGCCACACGTACTCCTCTGGCACCTGCCCAGGGGCCTGGTGACATTGCCAAGTGGGCCCAGTTCTTACCCTCCAGGCTGGGCCGTAGACAGAGCCCTGATGGGGATACACAGTAGCCTCTGGGAACAGGGCCAGAGGAGGAGAGGGCCAGGAGGTGCTCTCTGGGTCATAGGTGATAAATAGGCTCGAGTGATGGCAGGAGAAGGGACAGCATGGCCGGTGTGGGCTCATTTGGCATCAGGGATGATAGGCTTTCAGAGAGCCCCAGAACAGGAGCAGACTGGCCTATTTTGGCTGCTCCCTCTTCTGGAACTTGTGGATAGACAGGTGCCTGCTGGGGAGATCCTTCAGGCTCCAGGGCCCAGGGCTGTCCCAGATGAGTAGATGACAGCACATGCCTGTCCAGAGGCACTCTTGGGCTCATGGCCATGAGTGGTGACAGCCTTGGTGGGAGGGGAGGTGGGAGGATCCCCTGCACACTGTGGCCCAGAAGGACTCTGGGGGTGGGGGACACAATGGGCCCAGAATGGCCAGAGGGGCAGCAGGAGGGATTGGGTGTGGAGTCACATAGCCCTGTGTTGTGCTGTGTTCCATCGCTAACATGCTGGAGGCAGGGGATGGGGCGGGGAGGGAGGCTAAGCAGGTTTCTTAGCCTCCCTGAGTCTTAGTGGCTTCAAGTATAAGACAAGATGAGGGTACCTACCTTGTAGGGTGTTCCTGGGACAGGAAAGAGTGGATGTGGAAACACTCTGTGCCCCTCGAGGGGCTGATGGTTGATGGTTATATGTGGTTGGGTTGGGGTCTGTGGCTCTGACATGTAGTTGAGACCACAGGAGCCAGGGCTCTTGACCACTTCCTATGTCCCAGGCAGTGGGCTTCTCGTTCCCATTTCACCGATGAGGAAATGGAAAACCAGAGGTTGAGTCTTGCCCATTGGTGGTGGAGCTGGGCTGCTAATCCCTGTCTCCGACTTGGCTTGACCCTGTGCACACAGCCCCTCCTGCTGCTGGGACAGTGGCCCTGCCTCTCCACTGACTAGGGAACTTGGGAGGCTGGGTAAGACCCAGTGTCTAGAAGCCACTCTGCTGCCATCTATGAGTCATTCTCATATCTCCTGGAGGCTGGGGCCCGGCCCCACACAGAGGGAGCCACAGCGACGCCCTGTGGCTGGAGCGGGTGCAGTCCTGTGCACCGTGGCCAGCCTGGCCCTGGGCTGATTGGGTTGCTTCTCCAGGCTTCTATGCAATGGCAGCATGTCCTGGGCTTGCCGTCCTGTCCTGGATGTTGCTTTTGCAGTGTGAGACTGATTTATAAGACCCCAGGTCGGTTAGGGACCCATACAATACCATAAGGGCTGTAGCTTGGGGACGTCAGGCTACTCAGCTTCAAATACTGGCTCTGTCCTTGCTGTGTGACCCTGGTCAAGGACCTAGCTTCCCTGAGCCTCCGTTTCCCCACATGTAGTTTAGGGACATGACCTCCCCAGGCCCCACATTTGGGAAGTAGCAGAGGGATTTGAATTGGGATGGTGACTCCCATGCTGTCCCCAGAACTATGCTGAACCACCTGCTCCTGAGCATTGGCAAGGTGAGGTGTAAGGACATTGGAACATGACTGGGGTGGGGGGCCTCAGGATGTTTATTTCAAGACAGGGAGGCCTGTGGTGGCAGATGTTGTAGAGGGAAGGCTAGGTATGGGCATCCTTCCCCTGGGAACCTGCGGGCTGGATGAGAGGGAAACTAAGGGGCAGGTGGGCCCTCCTGGGTGGTCCTGTGGGGTAGCTCGAGTTCTCGAGAGGAGGCTGGTGGGGCAGAAGGTATATGATGCCACAGGGACCTCCTGGCTGGGCTCACCACCCCCAGGGGTCCTGTCCCCTCTAATCTGTCCTCCTGCATGGCATTATATTAAGATCCCAATATGCCACTTGGGTTGCATTGTTTCTACTGCATAGGACCCCTGGAGTCTCCTGTTGCCTCCCCAGCCCTGCCCCACTCTGTTCAGCCCACCTTTGAAGGCTCTCAGTAGGCCCAGCCTGAATCCTGCCTCCTCGCAGAAACCACCTAGTGAACATTCGTTGAGTGAATGAATGATCAGAAGCAGGAGACCCGGGACGCCTGGCTGGCTCAGCAGTTAAGCGCTTGCCTTTGGCCCAGGGCATGATCCTGGAGTCCCAGGATTGAGTCCCACGTTGGGCTCCCTGCATGGAGCCTGCTTCTCCCTCTGCCTATGTCTCTGCTTCTCTCTCTGTGTCTCTCATGAATAAATAAATAAAATCTTTAAAAAAAAAAAAAAAGAAGCAGGAGACCCTTTGGCAAGAGCTGGTCTCGGTTCTCAGAGCATGTGTTGTGCTCACCCTCCCAGAGCCTCAAGGGTTTTTTGGTAGGCAGCCCAGTAGCCTTGGTCTCTTCCTTTTTTTTTTTTTTTAAAGACTTTATTTATTCATGAGAGATAGAGATAGAGATAGAGAAGCAGAGACACAAGAACAAGGAGAAGCAGGCTCCATGCAGGAAGCCCGATGTAGGACTCGATCCCAGGACTCCAGGATCACGCCCTGGGCCAAAGGCAGGCGCTAAACCGCTGAGCCACCCAGGGATCCCCCTTGGTCTCTTCCTTAACAATCTTCATTTCCCCCCAAAACTTATAATCCCTACTGGGTAGGCCCCTCCTTCCTGTCCTAACAGGATCCAGCATGGGGGTGGTCACAGCCACCTCAGCACTTAGGTCCTGGCTTCCTGGGAAGGCAGGAGGGTTTCCCACCATTCAGTTCCCCGACTTTTCAGCACTTAGGCCCTGGCTTCCTGGGAAGGCAGGAGGGTTTCCCACCATTCAGTTCCCCAACTTTTCTCCCCGGACAGAAAAGGACTGGACAGAAGAGGACCGGGGCCGAGAGAAGGTGCTGATGCAGGAGCTCGTGACCCTTATCGAGCAGCGCAACGCCATCGTCAACTGCCTGGATGAGGACCGGCAGAGGTGACGGGGCTGGGGAGGGGCTCCCCCTCGGGGTGGGGGGTTATTCTCTGCAGGAGGGGCCCAGAGCAGGCCAGGCCAGCCCTGCCCTCACTGCCAGCAATCCCAGCACACCCTCCCTCAACTTGGAGGGGCTCAGGCTGGAAGGACACTCGGCTTCCCTTTCTCATTTCAGGGAAGAGGAGGAAGACAAGATGTTGGAAGCCATGATCAGGAGGAAAGGTGAGGCCCCTTCCAGGGCTCTGGTCCATCTAGACCAGAGGGCAGGGGGCAGGTTGAACAGAGGGTCAGAGCGGGCGCTACAGGGATCATGTGTGCAAACTCTTAGCCTCTCTCTTGCCGGGAGGGCCATGTGTGGCGAGGCAGGCCAGCCTAGAGCAGGAGGCTTGTGGCCTGGACTCAGAGGGTGGGCTGCAGTGAGGGCTGCAGTGGGCAAAGAGCACTTTCCCAGGGTGGCTGCATGAAGCCCGGAGTTCCTCCTTGATATCTGCGGCTGATCTTGGAGAAATTTATGGGCTAGGGGTGCTTAGGGGGCTCTGACTCTTGGTTTCAGCTCTGGTTGTGATCTCAGGGTCATTAAGCCCTGTGTCTGGCTGGCTCTGTGCTCAGCAAGGAGTCTACTTGGGGATTCTCTCCCTCTGTCCTTCCCCCACTCGAGGACTTGCACCTGTGTAGTCTCTCTCAAATATAAATACATCTTTAAAAAAAAAATACATCTTAAAAAAAAAGAGAGAGGTTCGTGGGCTCAAACAATAATAGTCCCTGTAGAGAGATAAGATGGTACCTGAAACAGTTAAAAGAGCACTGGCCTGAGAGGAGACCTGGGTTTAATCTTGGTTCCACCAGTGACTCACTTTGTGGCGTTGTGGTTAGGTCTGGACTCTAGTCAGGCTGCTTGGGTTCCAGTCCCAGCTCTGGAACTTACTAACTGGGTGACTTGGAGCCAGTGATTTCAGCCATTTCAGCCCTGCAGGCTTCACCTTCCTTGCCTGCAGCTTGGAGAGCACAGAAGGTGCTTAGCCTGGGGCCAGCACCTGCAGAGAGCTCAGTTGGTGTTAGTCCATTTCAAAGGCCCCCATCTTCCTCGTCTATAAAACTGAGGATGTGAGGCAGATGATTTTTGACGTCCTTCTGGCTCTGGGAGTGGTTTTTTTTTTTTTTTTTTTTACATTTATTTATTTATTTATTTATTTATTTATTTACTTACTTACTTACTTACTTACTTACTTACTTACTTACGATAGTCACACAGAGAGGGAGAGAGAGGCAGAGACACAGGCAGAGGGAGAAGCAGGCTCCATGCACCGGGAGCCCGACGTGGGATTCGATCCCGGGTCTCCAGGATCGCGCCCTGTGCCAAAGGCAGGCGCCAAACTGCTGCGCCACCCAGGGATCCCTAGCTCTGGGAGTGTTTGTGTTGTAGCCCTCAGAGCTGAGCGCACCAGCCTAGGGGAGAGCTGGACCTTTTCATGATAAACCCGTGCTAGGCTTCAGAGTTCCAGATTGCCTTCACGTTTGTTTATTTCTGGATCCTTGCCAGAACACTGGGACAGGGGCACGGTCCCCATCTGGTGGGCTCGCTAAGGTGAAGTGATGTGCCCAGGACTCCACATGGGCTGGAGGAGCAGAGCTGGGCCTTCATCGCTGCTCCCAGCCCGTCCCGTCCCAACATACTTCGCTTTCCCTTCTGCAGAGTTCCAGAAGGAGGCTGAACCCGAGGGCAGGAAGAAGGGGAAGTTCAAGACCATGAAGGTGCTGAAGCTGCTAGCACACAAGCGGGATACCAAGAGCAAGCCCCCGGGGGACAAGAGCTAACCGCCGGGGTGGCCAGTGGGACTTTCACCCGTCCTGGTGCATGCGGCCCCTGCGCTGTGCTCTGTGGGGAGGACACCCTGCTTCCCATCAGGATCAGTCCTGGGGAACAACGACGTCAGGGGAGGGGGCCTCTGGGTGACAGCCTCTCCCTCCTCAGGGGCCCTCTGGCTAGTCTGGGCCAAAGAGTTTTCTTTCCTCTTCTCTGTGCCACAGGCAGCTGTGGCTCCGCCCTGCCCTTGTCTGGTTCTGATGATTCCAGATGCTGGGACTGACCTGAGGAGCAAGCAGGGTCCTAGGTCTGGGGAGTGGCAGTGGCCGAGCACAGCTGCCTGGCGCACCCCAGCACCTGCAGTAACAGGCAGCCCCTCGGTCCCTCTTCCCTTCTGTACTGTGTCCGGATGGGATTCTTAGCTGTCAGAGTTGTGACCTGAAGGTCCTTCCATCCACATGGTCGGCCCATGGTGGATCTCTGGCCTGGGTCTCCTGCCTCCAGGGCTTAGCCAGCTGGCAAGCAGGGCTTGGCTGCACTGGCATCTTCCTGCCCCAGCTCTGGCTCTGAGCCCCCATCTTCCTTTCCAGTGCAGGTGGCCCTCAATCTGTTTCTCCTCACTTAGGAGCTCTATTTATGAAAGTCTAATTAGGTTTGAGCTTATCACTGTGTCCTCAGACATGAATGGGCCCAATGGACAAAGCCCTTCTCCCTCTGTCCCTCCAAGTTCTAGGAGGTGCTTCTGTTATCTCCCCCTGTTCCCTCGGAGACCTCACCTCCCAGGACTTGGGGCTGGGGGCCATGCTTGGTGGCCAGGGGTACCCTAGAGCCGAGTCCCTGGAGAGGGCCTCTGGGAGACAGGCCCAGTGGCAGTTCTAGTGCCCGGTCATCAGCCAAGGGAGCTGTGCTTCACAGAGGTGCTAATCCTGGTTCCTAAACACATTGTAGTCTTGACTTTCTCCCACCACCCCAGGGCTGGGGGGTAGCGGGCCCGGTCCTGTGTGTGGTTGTCACCAGTCTGTCGTCTCACACTTGACTGTTGTCCATTCTCTCCCGACTTGTTCTCCCGAAGGACTGATGGCCACTCATCCCACTGTGATGGCCATGGGAGAGGAAGAGCCGATGGGGACAACTGCCTTTCCCCCAGGGAATGCGTCCAGCAGCCCTCAGTCAAAGCACTGTTGCTATAAGCTATCTCTGGGGTGCTCTAGGGCCCCCTCCCTCAGCTCACCTCTGGGGAAAGTACGCACTGTATTAACTTGTGAGGATTTTCCTCCCCAACAATAAATGGAGACAACCTCAGTTGCCAGTGCCCCAGAGCCTGGGGCGCTTTGCCCTCAGCCAGGTCGGCCTTCTTTCGTGCCTCCACCATGCCCCATGGCCGGGCATCTCTGGTCCCCGGGGAGGGGCACGTAGGGCTGTCCACTGCCAAGGGCGTTGGCCCTTCAGAGCTTGCTAGTGGGCAGGACCCTTCCTCTGCAGGGAGATGCAGCTCCTACAGCTGCGCAGCCCCTGGCAGTCTCCTCCCAAACATGCCTGTTGACTGTTGCTGGTCACCAACTCCAAAGGCTTTCGGGGGTTGGGCTGGTCACATACCTGACCAGGGTGGGTGTAACCTGAGGGTGGCTCTGGCAGGCTGTCTTGGTGTCTAGAGACTCAGGTAGTGGGGACTGGGGTGTCTATGCCCCAACCAAAGGGGGAAGTTCTTCCTTACTTAAAGTCAACTGTAGCCTGTGGGGATGCGGGCCTAGTGTTGCCACACTTTTCCATTTTTCAAAAGAAGCTAGAAATCCACATTGTGTGCCTGTGTCATTTGTAAATGTTGGCAACTAATCTGACTTTAAATCAAGGGTAAGCTGTGTTGTCACAGATGGGCCACATTTGTCCTGGGGTTCTCTAGTCTGTTGCCTCGGGGCTACGTGAGGGAACCTTTGACATGGACATGATAGCTGTCCTTATCATGTTACACACTCTGCCCTTGGGTCCTGGGGGCTTCCTGTGGGAATGTTCATGAGCCAGCCTTTGATCTGGCCCCTTCTACTTACCAGATGGGTAAGTTTGAGGCTATTGGGCCACATTTGTTCTACAGCTCAAAACTTGGGTCATGTGGCCTGTGGGGTTATATGAATCCCTCCAAGTAGGAGTGTTGGTTGAATTTCCCAAAATATTTTGATGTATGGGGACAGGAAATTGACAGAGTACTGGAGAGTGGAGAGCTTGTGGTTGTCAGAAGACATGGAGACGTATTGTGCGCCAGGCCTGGGGGCTGCTCTTGTGGTCAGAGGCCTCCTCCATAGCCCTGTGAGGCGGAGCCTCACTGATGAGCAGTCAGAGCTGAGGTTTGGAGCTGATCAGGCTCACAGAGCACAGGCTGGGATCGGAGCTCAAGCCTGGCTCCTTTGGTCCAGCTTTCTCCCACCCTTGTGTTACTGTGGGCTGTGGGTTTAGTGGAAAGCCCGAGAACTAACTCCTAACCCTGAATGGGCTATTTGCCAGTTGAATGACCTTGGTTACAGTGTCTTGGGGAGCCTTAGATTTCACACAGGAATAGCAAACCGTGTTCGCAGGGTTTTATTGAGAGAATGAACCGAGTGAAATTCAGCACCTGACACAGTGCCTGGCCAAGGGGTGTTCAAGAAGTGTTGGTTCTCACTTCCACTTGAGATATGCAAACAGTTGAAAAGCATCTGTGCTTGAAAATTCTAACTCATTGAACAAATAAGCCTATCCTTCTGAAAACAAAACGGTGTATATTATGACCTACGTTAAATGTGTCTTACTGGCCAATTAATCCTAGTGGTTAAACATTTGCCTAAGGCTGTAAGAAGTCAAATAAGTAGGTCCTAAGGCAGGTAGGAAGAAAGGAATCATTCATTCTGAAGTTCTGCAAAATAAATGTGTGGGACATCCAGTGGGTGTGGGGTAGGGAGTGGGGGGAAGAGGCCCAGTGGATGCTCTCAGACATGGGCCTTGCCTTCACTGTGTATGGACTCTTTCCCTGAGAAAAGACCATTAGTTTGTGTGTGTGTGTGTGCGTGTGCACGTATGTCAGTGATTGTGGGTCTCAGCAGCTCAACTCACCCAGGCTCCCTGGGCAGAGTCTTGAGGAGAACGAGCTCATTCTCTGGGATCGGTCCATTTCCTAGGGTGCTGTGTGTGCCCAGGGGCCCCTAGGCCAGGGCAGTGCTTCACGGCCATTTGATGTGGCTGAAGGCCAGGGTAGGTGGGCTGGCCAGGGGGCGGGCTCCAGTGATCTAGGATGGGCTACTCTGCCCCTGTCTCTGGAGACAGATCAGGGGGTAACAAGAGCCTTCTAAGGTCCTCATTCCTCTTGTGGTCAATGTCTTCCATTTCCCGTAGTTTCTGCAAAAGGCATCAAGGAAACTGGCTAGCAGGGTTGGAACTTGAGGAGCCACTGCTGATGTGAGAGAGGACTCCCAGACCTGGGCCAGACCTGGGCTGCAGCTGCCCTGTCCACTCACATTTGCTGCTGCGCATGTATGGTGGACCCACCCCCACCCCTTCCTGGCTGCTTCTCCTACCTGGGAGATCTCCCCAAGGATGATCCCTCGGTACTGTCTGCCCTGTCCCAGTGCCTCCATGCCAGCCAGGAATTCCTTCCTCTCCTGGATTTCCTTTACCACTAGACAGGGGGAGAAGGGCCATCAGTGTACAGGGCAGTGGGGGGCCAGCAGGTTCCTGGGAGGGGTGGGGGAGAGGAAGCAGTTCTGTGGTCAGTGTTTCTCACTCTGGCCGCGGGTTATGGGCCCCTCCACACCCCCTATTCCAGCAGGAGTGGCCTATCAGTGGCTTACATTCTTCAAAGCGGTCCAGCTCTGGGGCTGGGTCCTTCTGTTGTACAGGAGGAGGCTTCCTTTTCCGTTCCTCTAAGTCCTTCCCAGTGGCAAAAATATTTTGGAGTCTTCGTTTCTCTTTCTCCAGATCTCCTGTAGGGCCCAGAAATGACCTAATGAAGGCAGGCAGGGCACCCCATTCATGGTCTGAGTTCCTATTTGGGCATGCTTGCACCAGGGTCCCTGGGCAACCCGGAGGGGGCTTCTGCAAACCAAGCACTTCTGGCCCCTAGGAGCCCCTGAGCTTGTGTCAAGACAGGAAGGGGAAGGGCTGGAAGAACGAATGCCAGAACCCACACACTGCTCTGGTACAGAGTGAAGCTAAGAAAACTGCTTGCCTCTGGGTATAGAGGCTGCATGGGGCTGTCGGCAGGTCTGTGCCAAGAGTTCTATCGGACGCCAAGTAGGAAGGGGGACAGAGGCTCCGTGAAGTAGCCTGGCATGCAGAGGAGCTCTGGACTGGGGGGGCTTGTGACCTTAAGAGAGCAGTGGCTGTGAGACCTGACAGCCAAACATTCATTAGGGACTGGTGGACTCCAGTTAATCATTTGAGAGTTCTAAAAAAATACAAAAGGATCACCTGTTTTTTCCTGCAACCTGAACACCCCCAAGCTAACAAGTGCCAAGGTTCAAGCACATTAGTATAAACAGCATGAGAATTTGATTAGACACCTGCTCACCTGCCCTGTGGGCTGCTTGCCCCACCCCTGGCCCCTTGGGGAAGGAGGTGGAAGAGGGGCTCTCTAGGCCCTCTCACTTACGGGGGGCTTGAGGCTTGAATGGCTCCCGGCTGTAGGCCCCATTGGCTTGGCACATGCTGGCAGGCCGGAGGTGGGGCCGGGCCGCCAGGATGGGAGGCAGGTAGATGGTCGAGGCTGTCTGTTTGGAAGGCAAGACCCTCTGGCTAGATGTCGGGCTGCACTGTAGGGGCAGAGTGTCTCCTCCTAGGGAAGGAAGGTTTGGGTGAGGGGCACCTACCTGTTTTTTTTTCTTTAATTTATAAAAGTGATACCTGCCTGTTAAAACAAGTCAAACAGTATAGAGTCTTCCCTTCTCTCCTCCAATCCCCCACCCCCACCCACAATGAGCAATTGTTAGGATTTGGTGGTCTTGTTCCATACTTTTTAATGTTAATACAAACATGTACAAAGATACATGGGTGTATATGACATTCGTGTTTCAAACACTGGATCATACTCTATTATATTCAGTAATAGACTCTTAACAATTTATCATGGACAACCTTCCAGATCACTCCATTTATATATAACTTATTTTTTAAAGCTATATACTAGTTCTTAGAATGGATACGTTATTTATTTTATTCAACTAGTCTCCTAATTTCAGAAATTCAGCCTTTTTCCCCTTCCCTTTTTTACTACTTCAAACAATGCTGCAATAAACATTCTTGTGCATCAAGCCTCTATACTGGTGCTTTTATTTCTATAGATGGATTCCTAAAACCTGCTTGGTACATAGGTGGGAAGGGATGGTTTGGATGGTATACACCAGTCCTGCCTACCATCCACGCCCACTGTCTTGGCCTGGATCTGGGGCTCCTCCTTCAGACCAGCTGAATGTGTTACCTCCTATCTGGTTGGCTGATCCCTCCTCTCATTTGCCCCAAAGCCCATCTCAGAGCAGGCCCCACCTGTTGTTTTGATCTGGCTCCCATGTATCTGTTCTGTGTGTCCAACCTTCTGTCATCCACCCAGCAAATACATACTGAGCATCTGCTCTGTGCCAGGCCCAGGACACTGGGGGTAAAGTGATAAGTAAGACAAAGTCCTGCCCTCGTTGCACTTACATTTGGGGTTGGAGGGGTGTGGATGATGATTAAGTAAATTACATAGTTAGATTGTGACAGTACAGGGATGGAATGGAGTATGTCAGAGCAGGATTTACAATTTTAAATAGGGTAGGCAGGGAAGGACCTCACCAAAAATGGTGGTGCAGAGACTTTGGGGAAGAGCATTCCAGGCAGAAGGAAAAGCTAGAGCAAAGGTTATGAGGTGATAATGTGCCTGGGGTGTCTGAGCAACAGCTAGGAAGCGAGGGTGCCAGCAATGGACTGAACAATGCAGGGGTATAGTGTGTGTAGAGGTCAGAGGTCAGGCACAGCAAGAGAAGTAGACAGCCTTGTAGGCCTTTGGAAAGACTGGCTTTTCCTTTGAGGTGGGAAACCATCAGAGGGTTTTGAGCGGGGAAGTTACATGATCCTTTGGCTGCTTGCCATTACTTCCCACTAACCCTCCCCTTCCCACAGCCTCTACCTAGAGCCACACCAAGGCTTTCCTATTCTTTCCTGAAGAGATGCTGTGCCTCCTAGAATGTCCCTCCTGCTCCCTCTCCTCTCTATTTCTGCCTGTCCAGTGCCGAGTGCTACCTCCCTCTATGGCCCATCCTTGGCAGATGATTAGGCCCCAAGTAATACCAGGAGTTCAGATGAAGGAGAGGCATTTGTGGCTTGCAACAGAATTCGGTTGATGCCTCAAAACAAAAAGTAAATTTGGTTAAGAGGAGAAAAGGAGGGGGTTATAGAAGAAAGCTGACTCAACACCAACACTTGGAGGCAAGTTTTTTAAAAAAGATGATGAAGTGGGGGCCTGGGTTGGCACAATTGGTTAAGCATCTGGCTCTTGGTTTTGGCTTAGGTTGTGATCTCAGGATCGTGGTTTGAGCCCCATGTCAGGCTCTGTGCTGAGCTTGGAGTCTGCTTGAGATTCTCTCCCTCTCCCTCTGCCCACCCTCATTCTCTCTAAAATAAATCTTTAAAAATCAATCAATCAATCAATCAATCAATCAAAAGAACATTCAGGAGAATAAAACTGTCAGCCAAACCAGTTACTTACCTTGGTTTCTCCACTAATGAAATCAGTCCTTCAGTAAATATCCAGCACTGGGCACTTGGGGCTACTGTGGTGAACATGGCAGACATAATCCTTGGTCTCCAGGAATTTAAGTGGAATTTCTAGCACCTTCTTTTTGTAGTCATGTTACAGGGGGCACTATGGGTTGCAGAGTGCAAAAATGGAGTGATGGGATTTAGATGTGCTAAGGCGCCAGGCTCTGACAGCTGAGTTGCCAGGCTCTGACAGCTGAGTTGTCCTTGTCTGCAGTGAGGAAGATCTGACTCCCTACTGGGATGGCCCAGCCTGCCCCTGGCCACTGCTGGACGTACCCTGCTGATATTTGCCTCTTTGGCTCTCCCTTCTCTTTGTTTCTGTGGCTGCTCAGGTGCCCTCTCTAATACATCCTTCTGCAAATAAGGCAATCACTTGTGGTGGATTCACTAGAGAAGATTCTGACATTCTCTCTCTCCAAGGCCGTTTCACAGGTCTCTGTTCTGATCCATTAGATACCAACTCAGTTAAATCTCAGGGAGCATGGTAGTTTTCAAGATCTTAGCACCTTGCTATTGTGCCCATGAACTTCTACTTTTTTGTTTCCTTCAAAATAACTAATATAGTAGGTGGTCAGGGTGAGCTGGAAAGCATCTGCAAACTCTTCCTGTGCTGGAATTCTGCCAATTGTCTTGCTTCGGCTAGCTAAACTGTGACAATAAAACTATGAGCAAGACCCACACACATACAGAGTCTTTTCTCCTGGAGAGCTCACATGGTATGCGTGTAATAGGGAGGGACAGATTGCAGACATGACCACATGGAGACTATTTTGGCTGGGCAGGATCTCTCAATCAGGCTGTGATCTCTTGGAAGGTTGGCCAGAGACAGACTGTAAGAGGCTTGTTGTTGTGCTAGGACCCATGTCGTGGGAAGAAGCAAAAGGCCTAAAAGGTCAATTCTCCAGGAGCAAGGGTGAGAAATGCTATTCAATTTTTTTTTGCCTTTTAATTTTTTAAAAAGATTTATTTATTTATATATAGAGAGAATGAGAGAGCCCACACACACAGGAGAAGGGGTAGGGGGAGAGAATCTTTTAAGCTGACTCCCTGTTGAGCACGAGCTCTCATGGGCTTGATCTCACAGCCCATAAGATCATGACCTGAGCTGAAACCAAGAGTCGGATGCTCAGCCAACTGAGCCACCCCAAGCACCCCTTCTTTGGTTTTTAAAAATTAGGTCGTCTACCCCTTAACATGGAAGAGCATTAAAAGTGTGGTTCTGGGGATCCCTGGGTGGCGCAGCGGTTTAGCGCCTGCCTTTGGCCCAGGGCGCGATCCTGGAGACCCGGGATCGAATCCCACATCAGGCTCCCGGTGCATGGAGCCTGCTTCTCCCTCTGCCTGTGTCTCTGCCTCTCTCTCTCTCTCTGTGTGACTATCATAAATAAATAAAAAAATTAAAAAAAATTAAAAAAAAGTGTGGTTCTGGGGCACCTGGGTAGCTCAGTGGTTGAACGTCTGCCTTGGGCTCAGGTTGTGATTCCAGGGTCCTGGGATCAAGTCCTGCATCAGGCTCCCCACAGGGAACCTGCTTCTCCCTCTGCCTATGTCTCTGCCTCTCTGTGTCTCTCATGAATAAATAAATACAAATCTTAAAAAAAAAAAAAAAAAGTAGGGTCCTGAGTCCCTCAGCCCAGGAAGCCTCTGTGAACCACCTCTTACTTTTCATGGTGTCCATGATGTGGCGCTGTTGGAAGTTAGTCAGTTTGGATTCCTTCATCATCACTGAAAAGATAAAGTACCTTTATGAGGCCTCCTGGGCAGCAGGCAGAGCCCTTCATCTCACCCTATTCCAGTGTAAAACTGTATCACCTCCTAGCCCCATTATGTACCTGAGTACTCCTTCTCTCCCTTTCCTGCTTCACTGTTTTTTTCTGGAGCACTTACTACTATCAACATTCTATATATTTTGCTTATTTATTGTCCCCTTCCTACCAGAATATTAGTTAGCTCCATGAGATGGCAGGAATTTTTGCTGTTTCCTCGTTTTTAAAAACTGTTATATACCCAGCACTTAGAACAATGTCTAAAGCACATTACGTAGGTTTAAAACTTTCGTTGTTGAGTGAATGAATGAATGGAGAGTATTTATTAAGCATGCGGCAGGGGCTGGAGCTACAGTTGTGAGCCTAGACAGGTACAATTCCTGCCCTGGTGGAGTTCATGATCTAGAGGGGTTGATGAATATTAATCCAATGAGAGACAACTAAATGTCTGAGTACAGGTTGTGCTGTGCATTGAAGGAAAAGGTATGTGGTGGTGTGAAAGTGTGGAACCCTTGGTTCGACCCTGGTGGTGGCAGGCGGGGAGGAGATAGAGCGTCCCTGGGGAAATTGAAAGTGTGATCTAAGGAAGGCACAGGAGTCCATCACTTTAAAATTCTAATTTCTTTGACTTTGGGCCACTTGCAAGTTGTAGGATCCCTGAACCTTTGTGAACCCCACGCCTCTTCTCTGTAAAATGACGATAGCCGTTGCTAAGCCACAGGTCCTGTAGGGGAGAACCGGCCTACAGGGGGTAACTGTCACTACCACTCTCGACACACTGACCTCTGAGCAGCTCGCAGGTCCCTGGGGTGTAAGTGGCCGGCTTGGGGCAGCGCCAGAACCCTGTTCCTTTGGTCACTGCCTCTATCCTTTCCTGGGAAGCCATGGGAGGGCTCTGGGGAGGGAATAACGCAAGGGCGCAACCCCTGTCTCCCAGGTCTAATCTCCGCTCCCGCATCGCCCCGCCCCCGAACGCCCCCCAGTCTGGAGCGGGGGTGGAGCCACAGGAGAGTGTGACGTCACCGTCAATGTCGCGGCAGTGCCTGATCCTTCCACCCCGAACAGATACACAGGCGGACCCCCCCGCCCCCGCCCCGCCACGAACGGAGACCTCATCCTGGCCCGGTGCCTGCGGCAGGGAAGCCCTCTCTGGAGGAAGGGGGCGTCGGGATAGCCGCGGTCCGGTCAGTGCCCGTTGAGGGATACGCCAAAATTGAGACCTCACCGTGAAGAAAGCCCCCAGCTGGTGCCCCCGCCACAGAGAGCGGCCAGGCTCGGGGGACCGTAACCACGGCTCCGCCGCGGCCCGGCGCCTGGGCCCCGCACAAACTCGCGGACCTCCGCGAGCTGAGCTGCCACCCGCGGCTCTGGCTACCATGGTAACTGGCACACACCCCCTCGGCGCGTGCGCACACTGACGACCCCGGCCGGTCCCCCGGAAGTGCTTGCCTCTGGGTCACGGCGCAGGCGCAGAATACGCGGGGCGCCGCGCGGGGCGCCGGTAAGCTGTTTGCGGGTCTCCGCGCGGGTGTTGGGTGCAGGTGCCGGTCGTGTCGGTGTGGGCGTCATGTCAGACAACGAGGACAAGTGAGTGCGCGAGCTGCGGGAGGGCCGGGTGAAGCGGGAGCCTGCGTCGGCGGAGGCTGCGGAGCCGGGCTCGAGGGGCAGTGTCTGAGGGGCCCGCGGGGCTGGACGGGAGGGAAGGGCGGGGAGCCCGGAGCCAAGGCCCAGCGGCGGTCCAGAGAGGAGCAGTGCTCAGCAGACTTCCAGCGAGCCGCGCTGTGTGTCTCGTAATGGGAGTATGAGGTGAATTAGGTATAGCCCCTGCTCACCGGGACGCCCTTTCTAGAGGAGGGGACGAGCCCAGAGCAGATAGTACAGGGTCGTGTGAGGGTAGGCGATAGGAGTAACCTAGGGGACAGTCTAGCGAGACCTGGAGATGGTAAAGGTCTGGAGGGGATGCTGTAATCCCGGTGAGAGAACCTAGTGGCTTGGACTGGGGCGACACTAGTAGACGAGTAACATGTAGTTTTGAATTCTGGATTGGTTTCGAAGCTAATGTGTGGGGTCAGAGGAGAATCACTTTTTAAAAAAAAATATTTTATTTATTCATAGAGACAGAGGGAGAGAGGGGCAGAGACACAGGCAGAGGGAGAAGCAGGCTCCACACAGGAAGCCTGACGTAGGACTCGATCGCGGGTCTCCAGGATCACGCCCTGGGCTGCAGGTGGCGCTAAACCGCTGAGCCACCAGGGCTGCCCGAGGAGAATCACTTTTGAAGATAAAAATAATGGAGTCATCAGCATAAGTATATTAGTCAAAACTAAGAATCGGGTGAGATCACCAGGGAAATGTCCGTAGGGAAGAGATGGCTGGTGACCGAGTGTTAGAGCATCCCCGCTTTGAGCACTTGAGAGAAAAGAGGGGAAACCAGGAGAGGAGACCGAGATGGAGCAGCCAGGGAGGTGGAGGAGCCCCAATAAAAAGGCAGCCTTGCAGGCACGTGAGGAGAGTGTATTGAGCGGCCGGGTGGGGGACTGGTCAAGGGTGCCAACTGATCAAGTTAAACGAGAACAAGAATTGTCCACTGGATTCAGCAACATCGCAGTCACTAACGAACTTGAGAAGAGTGGTTTTGCTGGAACTGTGGAGGTGAAGGTCTTCCTGGAGTGAGATTATGACAGAATGGGAAGCGAGGAATCAGATAGGGAAGATGGGCAGCTCTCATGAATTTTGCTCCCGAGAGGAGCATGGAACTAGGGCTCTGTGGGAGGTAAAAGAGAAGTAAATTTTGTTTTTTAAGACAGGGAAATAAGTACATGTTTGTACATTGATGGGAGTGATCCAGTGAGAGGGAAACAGTGATGATGAACGAATGAGTCCTAGCAAAATTTGGGGGCTAATGGGGTAAGGATGAAGGAGTAAAATGGAACAGAAGTTTGATTCACTCATTAAGTAGTTATTTATTGAGCCCTTTCTCCATATTGGATGAGACATAGATCTCTGCTTTCTTTGAATCTAGTAAGTGATGCTTCAGCTAACTGATCTCTTCTTCTTGTACAGTTTTGATGGTGATGACTTTGATGATGTGGAGGAGGATGAAGGGCTAGGTGACTTGGAGAATGCTGAAGAGGTCAGTATTTAGCTGTGGGCTCCCTCCTTTGTACCCCAAGCTGCCAAATAATCCAGTGGTGATAATTGCCTGAATGTATCTGCCTCCTGCTTGGTCAGGGCCCCTGGCGCAAGCGCCCCCAGTTAGAGTGAGCAGTGTTCCTGTCCTGGATAGTGGATAAGTCCTACAGGGTAGGCCATAGCCTGTGGCTCTTGGGGCAATTGGTTTCCTGATGGGGGACATATCACTATTCATTCAGCAAGCATGTATTGAATGTTTATTATGTACTGGGTGCCCTCTGGACAGGGTAAATGTAAGGAGCCAGGGGGAGTGTGACCTGCGATAAAGCTGGAGAGGTAAGAGCCCACATCAAGCAGGATTTTCTATCCTAAAGGCAACTGGAAGCCACCAACAAGTGTTGAGGCAGGGAGTGGCACAATCAAGTTTATACTTTAGAAAGGGCATTCTGGCCTCAGAGTGATGAGTGAGTTGGGAAGGAGCAGGAGTAAAAGATAGAGACCCTTAGGGTCTCTCCATCCAGGCGAGAGACTTGTGGTTTGGACTTGGGTGCTAGTAATGTAGGTGATGAGAAGATGAATGAAAGAGATCTTTTGGTGGATTAGGTGTGGAGCTGAGAAAGTGGGAGATGACATAGGCAACCCCCAGGTTTCCAGCTTGTGTAACCAGGTGGATGGGTTGCTAACTTCATGCATGATGTAAGGTTTTTTATCCTGTGACTGATGGAGAAAGAAGTGCTTTATGGCTCCCAGAAAGGGAGTGATCCCTCAATTTTTTTAAGCTTGGAAGCCAAAACCCCCCTTTGGATTTTCTCTTTCTGCATGGTACACTCAGGTACCTATTCACTGAGTCAGAAACCCCCTCCCCATCCTCCTGGTCTACCCCTCTTCTGTTGATTCTGCCTCCTATACATGGTCCAGCCCTGTTTCTCCATTCTTAGTGCTTCAGCCTGGTTTAGGTCTTCACCGCTTTTCACTCACTTTGTTACCGAAATGTGTTACTTGTTTTCCTGCCTTCAATCTCCCACCACTCTGCTTGACTTGCCATTCTGCTGCCAGAGTTGTCTGTCTTACCTGCCTACCTGATTGATTACTACTGATCTTCCTTCAGGGTCTGCTTCTGCCCTTGCCCCCTGCAGAATATTCTCAACAGAGCATCCATAAGGATACGTTTAAAACTTAAGTCAAATTGTATCTCTCTTCTATTCAGAACCCTCATCCAAGTGGCTTCCCATCTCATACACAGTAAGTGCCAAAAAGTAAGCAGTACAAGGTCCTCCAAGCTCTGGCCACCTGCTTTCTCTGTGACCTCATCTCTTCTTGCTGTCCCTGTCATACCAGGTTGATTCCTGCTCAGGATCTGTAATCACCCTGTTCCCTCTTACAGGAATGCTTTTCCTGCAGATACGCACATGACCTAATGCTCACCTCCTTCAGGCCTTTGTCCAAGTGTCCCCTCAGTGAGGCTTCCATGACCATCCTATCTATCTATCTTATTATTATTATTATTATTATTATTTTTAAAAGACTTTATTTATTTATTCATGAGAGACACAGAGAGAGAGGCAGAGACACAGAAGGAGAAGCAGGCTCCATGCAGGGAGCCCGATGTGGGACTTGATCCTGGATCCCGGGTCCCCAGGATCACACCCTGGGCTGAAGGTGGCGCTAAGAAGGTGGTGCCAAACCTCTGAGCCCCACCATCCTATTTAAAGTGGCAGCGTCGGGACGCCCGGCTGGCTCAGCGGTCAGGGGGGTCTGCCTTTGGCCCAGGTTGTGATCCCCAGGTCCTCGGATCCAGTCCCACATCGGGCTCCCTGCATGGCTCCTGCTTCTGCCTCTGCCTGTGTTTCTGCCTCTCTCTGTGTGTCTCATGAGTAAATAAATAAAGTCTTAAAAAAAAAAAAAGTGGCAGAGTCCTCCTCCCATGTCTAACACACCCATCCTGGCACTCCTTGTCTCTTCTGTTAGTTTTTAGTTTTACTTGTTTTTTCTTTTGTTTTTATACTACATATTTTACTTATTAATTTTGTTTGTTAATTTCTTCTCCTAGTGTAAGCTCTGTAGGGGAAACAATTTTTATTTGTCTTACTCTTCTATTTCCAGCACTTAGAACACTGACACACGGTAAGCACTCAATAAATATTTGTTGACTTAATTCTTTGATTTTTTTTTTTAAGGTTATGTGTTTATTTTAGTAATCTCTACACCCAACATGGGGCCCAAACTCATGAGATCAAGAGTTGCACACACTTCCAACTGAGCCACCCAGGTGCCTTTTTTTCTTTTCTTTTTTTTTTTTTTTTTGAGTATTTTTAATTTATTATTTTAAGTGAGTTCTACACTCGATGTGAGGCTTGAATTCATGATCCCCAGATCAAAAGTCACATGCTCTACCCACTAAGCCAGCCAGGTGCCCCTGATTATTTATTATAGAATTTCTTCTATCTAAAACCCTTTTGCTCACCTTTTGCTCTAATACTTCACAGCTAGTATATTCTCTCCCACCCCGGTGCTTTTGTGCATGCAACTTCGCCTGCCTGGAATGCCCTTCTCTTCCTAATTGGCTTGGCGGCTCCTACTCATTTTCTAGAGTAGCTCAAGTCTCATCTCTGGACTGTCTTCCTAACCCCCAGCATGAGTTTGATGTCTCCCACCTTGTTAACTTTGTTGCACACTTGCATCCCTTTGTAGCAACCTGCTGTTTTGTTTACTCTTGTCTCCTCTCCCGACTGAATTCTTTGAGAACAGAAATAGTTAGCTTGCTATCTTATCACCCGTTATGATGATTTTTGACACATGACAGATGCTTAATAAGTAATTGTTGAATGCATGTGAATATTTGTATTCCTGCCTTTACTTTGACTTTTTAGCTACTTGACATATTAATTCAGTTACCCTGTCTAAAAGATGGAGTGCTTACTCCTTGCCTCCTGTTTAGAGAGATTTTTTATCTGTGCTCAAGGACTTTTTTGCACATAGCTAATGTTCTGGGACCACATCTACAGACTGCTTCTCTCTTCTGGATGAGGCAGCTGGCTCTGGAATCCCAATCGTGTTTCTTCTCTTTCACTAGGTCTGAGACTTTGGCCAAGTTAGCTCACCTCTGAGCCTCTAAAATAGGCACTGTAACCCCTACCACATAATGTTATTGGTAATGAAGACTAACTAAGGAGGCAACACTAACTGCAGTGGCACAAGCCCTGGCACATAATAAGTGATAATGTT